CGTGTGTGTGTGTGTGTGTGTGTGTGTGTGTGTGTGTGTGTGTGTGTGTGTCCTTGACTGTAGGTCATGTTTCATGCCGCACTGCTGTGTACATGCCAGGATGCTCTTTGGGATTTACTGCAGTAGAGATTAGCTGCTTGTTGGCATGTGTGTGAGTGAGAGATTTATGCTCTTATTCGCTCTGATTGATATTACCAGACAGTGTTCTTATGTAACGCATCGATTTCTGGGAGCTCGGGTCTGTCGCCTTGTTATGAAGGTGGTGTGTGTGTCATGGTGACCTCATTAGCATAATTTTTATTTTAGTATTTCCTTATTTTAGTATTATTTATAAATTACGTTTTTATTCATTTTTTATTATTTTTATTTTTATATTAGTAATTTTATTAGTAATATATTATTTTTATATTAGTAATATATTATATATTATTTTTATTTCTTTCATGTAGTTGCCATGTTTGCATTCCTAATTTTTATTTAGTTTAATTTTTCATATATTTATATATTTCAATTAATAAAAATGTTTTAATAGTTTTAGTTTTAAAGATAATAACCATGCAGGAAATCTGATGTTGCCGATCATCATGTAAAATGACTTGTGATTGGTTAAAAATGTGTAGACTGCTCTTCTGGCTCCTTTTCTACTGTTAACATAGCCTGGGGCTGTCATAGAGACTTATTACAGATATCTGACAGTAAAGATATTTTATTGTGATATTCCCAAAATAAATCACTTACAACACCTATAAACTTAGCGATAACTCGGGATAGCTGCTAATCATTAGCTTATCAGATAAAAAAGGTTAATGTCTTAGAAGTGCAATAAAGGTTTGATGCAGATGTTTACAAAGAAATTATTAACTGGAGTGATGGTTTTATTCAAGTTGTAGCTTCTATCAAAGCAAGTGGATATTAAACTATCTATAAGCATGTAGATCACTGTAGCACCTCAGTTCAACCAAGTATCCTTTCATATTTACTTAAAGCATGAAATAAACATGAATGAACATGGGAAGGTATCTTGATTAATCTACTCTTCTGTCTGGTTTGTTTGCCAGACAAAATGGCAGATTTGGTGTTATGGTTGGTCAGATCGCCTGTCAATCAAACTCCCTGCGAAGGGTCAGTTGAGCTGTAGAGCTACTTCATAGCTGAAATAGTTTCATAATCAATGAACTTCGCGACATTGACACTGAATTGAATCAGCATTGAGCTGAATAATAACACTGTTTTCTTTTGTGGAGCGGCTTTATAACTGAAATTGAAGTTGTTTCATAATTGATGAACTTTGCAAAATTGACAGCATTATTTTCCTTTTTATAAAACCTCTTTGAAACAACCTGTATTGTATAAAGTGCTATATAAATATATATGACTTGTTGGGAATTAAGTTATACTCATTCCTGAAAAAGTAATTCGGCTAGGATGGATGGAGAAAACATACATACATATTCAATAGATGGCAATAAAATCACTGCCTAGCACCTTTAATTGCTGAAATTACATCATGTTCCCATATTAAATCAAATACCATTCAAATAGGGCATTAGTAAATCATCACAAAAACACAACACCAAATAAGCATAAAATATCTTTACTTAAAATATCCTCTTTGAAAACAGCAGAACAGACTATGGCTGAACAATATTGCTTAACAAAGCCCTCATATTCAAGTAAAGTACATTCAATAACACATTACACAATATATTTCAAACCTGCTGACTTTACAAACACATAACGTAAGACACGAGACCTGGTCCCAGTGCTTTAGAAGAGCTGATGTTGACCTCCTTGCTTAACCTGCAAGATTTGTCTATTGGCATGTACTCACTGTGTTGCTTGTGCATCGCTTTGCAATATCAAAGTCCAAGATTAAAGCATAGAACAAGAAACGGCACATTAAGGAATTATAGGGGTTTCATGCAATTATTGCTACTGCTTTTAAACTGAAATCTTGTGTGTATCAATTGCTATAAATGACATCTTTCAGAAACACACACAGGAAAATGCAATTACTATCTGAGGCACAAATACTTAAAAAATCAAAACTGCTCTGATTGTTCAGTATGTGCTAGATTTTGTGCGTGATTTCCCTGCGTGCCGACATGGATGTTTTGCCACGTGTGTTCATTTACCATAGGGGATTTTCTAGACCTTGCAGCCTGATAGCAGTGTGCATTGGGTTTCATTAAGCTTCAGCACTGCTGAGACAGCCAGAGATTACAGCCTGGCAGGGAAGGACAGCAGCACAGATGGCATCTGTTCGGGAATCTGCCGATCTGCCGTATCTTTGCATTTTAATCTGAGATGCTGGTCTAGTCTATAGAGCAGAGGTGCCCAAACTTTAATACAAAGGACCAGAAATCAAACTTGATTGAGGGCTGTTATCCAAAAATAAATGTTGCATTGTATCCATCTACTCTGAAAAAAAAAATGGTGTAGAAACTGTTTTCGCTCAGATATTGCTAGTAAATTTCACAAATAATTAGAATAAATGGCAAGTAACACTGAATTAGATTTCGAATGTTGTAGTAAAAACTAAATAAATAGTATTTTCTGTACTCTGATAATATATATATATTTTCAATGTTGTTTTATTTCATCTTGTTTTGATTAAAATATTTTAATAATTGATTTCATTAATATAAGCAAGCATTTTATAACTTTTTATAGTGTATATTATATTAAAATTAATTTAATAAACAACAAATTAAATTTTTAAATGTTTGATTTATTTTTAATCAAATTCACTTGATTGTTTTTTTTTTCAGTGCAAAAAGGAATGCATGAACTAAAAAAAAAAATTATACCATCAATGCAATATAAGTCATTTTGGATAAAAGCATCTGCCAAATGCATAAATGTAAATATAATATGACGGGCCAAATCAAAGGTCATCATGGGCCAACTTAGTCCAGATTTGGGCATCTTAAATACTCCATTTACATATTAAATACCCCATGTATATATTACTCCTCTTGTCTGTCTATGCATCACATGTAAATCAGAGCATCATACAAAATTGGCACCATATTCTAAATCCAAATAATTCAAGCATTTGCACTAATGAATGAAGAATGAGAAAGAAAGAAAGAAAGAAAGAAAGAGGGACAGTACAAACACATGATTCCCTGCATAGCCTCTTTACTCTCCAAACAGCACACCTGGTCTGCTGGACAGCTGGCAGGTTGCCCTCCTTCATTTGAAAGATGCACGGACCTCACGATCTTTCAGAGGCTGAGGGGAGCGATAGTTGTTCACCATGCAGCAGGCCTCCTCATCCTCTGCTGTAAAAAGCAGAGATCGGAATTTCTTCATCTGTGGAGGAAGAGAAAGAACGACAAATACTTGAGTTTTCAGCATCTGTTACTATTTATTTAATAGAACTGACACTGAACTGACTTGAGCTTAATTTCACTGAACTGAATCAACATTGAACTGACTCAGGCTGAAGTAAAGGAATTGAATTAAATCAACATTGAACTGACTCAGGTTGGATTGAACTGAACTGAATCAACACTGAACTGACTCAAGCTGAATTTCACTGAACTGAATTGAACTGAATTGAATCAACACTGAACTGATTTGAGCTGAAATGAACTGAATTAAATCAACATTGAACTGACTCAGGTTGGATTGAACTGAACTGAATCAACACTGAACTGACTCAAGCTGAATTTCACTGAACTGAATTGAACTGAATTGAATCAACACTGAACTGATTTGAGCTGAAATGAACTGAATTAAATCAACATTGAACTGACTCAGGTTGGATTGAACTGAACTGAATCAACACTGAACTGACTCAAGCTGAATTTCACTGAAAGAAAGAAAGAAAGAAAGAGGGACAGTACAAACACATGATTCCCTGCATAGCCTCTTTACTCTCCAAACAGCACACCTGGTCTGCTGGACAGCTGGCAGGTTGCCCAGCATCACTGCATGGAGGGTGAAGGTGCTTTGAGGCCCTTGGCCCGGGGCCCCGCGCTTGCATATCCTGCTAAAGAAGGGAGGGAAGGAATCAACACTGAACTGACTCAAGCTGAATTTCACTGAACTGAATCAACATTGAACTGACTCAGGCTGAATTGAACTAAACTGAATCAACATTGAACTGACTCAAGCTGAATTGAACTGAACTAAATCAACATTTAACTGACTGGGGTTGGATTGAACTGAACTGAATCAACACTGAACTGATTCGAGCTGAATTTCGCTGAATTGAATCAACATTGAACTGATTTGGGCTGAATTGAACTGAATTAAATCAACATTGAATTGACTTGAGCCGAATTTAACTGAATTTAATAAACAATGAACTGACTCGGGCTGCATTGAACTGAACTGAATCAACATTGAACTGACTGAAGCTGGATTTCACTGAATTGAATCAACATTGCACTGACTCGAGCTGAATAATAACATTCTGTAGAGCTGCTTATCACTGAATTGAACTTGTTTCACAATTGATGAACTACACAGTGAATGAACTGATCTGAATCAACACTGAACTAGACTTGAGCTGAATAATGACACTTTCTTTTTAGAGCTTCTTTACAGCAGAATTTGAATCATTAACATTTTCCTGTTAATTACGGTTAACAGCTTTGCTGCTTTGAATCGATCTGTACTGTATAAAGCTGTATAAATAATGGTGATTTGACTTGTATTGGGAAAACGCTTATAGTTCTGCAAACTGGTTAAACATTAACTGTCCTAAGCAAACTCATTTTCATTCATTCTTACATTTTGAACAGAATATCATGTTAAGTTATTTTGTATTATGAAGTCAATAATTGAACAGGCAGCTAGGAAATGAGGCATGCCACCTGAGGTTATGTACACATTACCAGCCTTGAACCAAAGTTGTGATGTAAACATTCGACAGGGTCGTGTTCATTTTCACATGAGGGCTAGATGCCGCAGAGGTTGAATGGAGAAGAAAATAGAACTCACTATGAAGGTTTTGTACATTTGTTTACAATTTCCTCAGATGAGAGCAAATGTCTAGCTGGTTTTGAAAGCAGAAGGCCTAAAGACTAAATAAACAAATAACAATGTCAATCATAATTATATGTTTTTTGCTAGACTGTATGCATTTGGGTAGCTAGCTCACATAATGTTTTAAGTAGTGATTGCAGTATATAAATACAGTTTTTATATACAGTAGATATATATGCATTCATTCACATTAATTACACAACCTAAGGAGGTTATATACAAATTTGTATTTTACAGACATAATTTGTGATCTTAATCCTGTTCAAATTAACAAGCCTGTGTTTTTTAGTTGAGTCAGCAAGGTGTTCTTTGCTCTGCTTTAGAATTAATAAGATGCACATCCAAATCTCTATTATGCGAGATGCCACACTTCACTATTAAGCATGTGACTTGTAAATTCCACTGGTATAAATTGTGTCATAAGCAGGACCTGCTCCAAGCTGACGCTGATTGACTGCTTGCAGACGATCCATGTGACGCTCTCGAGCAGGGGAGGGGTGGTCAGAGACCCCAGGTACGTCCAGTAATCCAGAAACTCTGGGAGCAGGACGGTTGGGTCAAAGTTTGTGAATGAGGTCTGCGTTCCCTGCAAGATAACACGCACAAATGGACCATGAAGCAGAACTGATTTCAATATTTAGCATGAAGTAAAACTGACAACAAAATGTAATTGAATTGGTAGACATGCCTTGCACTTGATTGCATCCATAGCATCCAGAAGCTTCTGAAGATTAGGATTGTCTGCGCCAATCTGATGAGAAAACAACAATTTTTCATTTTTATCCTAAACTAAAAAATTGTGGGATAAATATGACTAAAGCACAATATTTTATGTAATTTTATATTATTTATAAATATGCTCTAAATGTTAGACTTAAATTAAATTGACATTTTTCTTTAACCCAATTTTGAAAATTTGTGGGAAGAATGTGACTAAGGCACAATATTTAATTTAATTTTATCTTACTTTATTTTATTTTGCAAAAATATAATGAGGAAAAGTGATGAAACTATGTAGTGTATTCATCTCTGTGTTTGCTAATAAAGTGGTTCGTGAATAGGCCCTAAAAATGCAAGACTTAATACTAATTTGAAAAAAGTGTCTAGGCACAATATTTTTTTATTTCATTTTTTTGTTTGTTTTTGTTTGTGCAAAACTATCATGAGAAAAAAGTGATGAAACTATTTAGTGAATTCATTTCTGTGCTTGCTGATAAAGTGGTTAATGAATAGGCCCTAAAAATGAAAGCCTAATACTGACTTTAAAAGATTGTGACTAATTTCATTTAATTTTATTTTAGCTCATAAATGTCATAAGAAAAAGTGATGCATCTATTCAGTAAATTTATAAATGTGTTTGCTGACAAAGTGGTTAGAAAATAGCCCCCCCCCCCTCCAATTTTTTAAATTATAATTATAATTTTAGTGAATTCTTCCCAGTGTTTGCTGACAATGTGGTTAGTACATAGGCTCTAAAACTGTACAACTGCACACAGACCTCTAGAAAAACTCCAACCACAGCAAGACCATCAGGCTTACTGGCTGCTTCCCCAAAGCTGGGATATTCTGTGTTCCAGTGGACCAGATGGAGCTAAAGATGAGATTATTAGGAACATGAATACTTAATTATAAAAGAAAACATCTCACATCTTAATTTTCCCAGTATGCTCAGAGATTCATACCTCAGCTGGGTAGCATTTCCCATCGACTGTGTGCTCGGAGCCCTTGTCGTCACTGGCTCCCCAGTGGAAGTGGAACTGCTTGAGTCTGTATTTGCCTGAGATCGGGCCTTCCGTCAGAGCTAATGTGGGCAAACACAGAAAAAATTATAAATGTCATGTCAAAGTCTGTTACATACTCTATACAGTAGGTAACAATCGTTAAACAGGCTAAACATGGTTAAACTTGCTACACAGGTTCCATCTACTGATTCTGTCAAAGTTCACATGAACGACACTTAAACCATTCACTGCTTAGCAGCTTCAGTGCAATTATTTGTGTGAACACGTTTGTGATTTCCCATAATTCTAAGCAAAAGTAGCTGTGTCACTGGAGGACGAGATAGCTGAAGGGTCAAGGAGGTGTTACACTGGTATTTTCACATATTCATTTAATTTTAGGCTTTACACCTGCTTAGACATGCCATAAAATAAACTATAACCTATAAATAAACAACGTATAAAAATAGTGCGCAAACTATCTATTTAAAGGCTTTTAAACACTCTAGTACAGCATACTATTGTAAATTAATGTTTAACTATGTAGTTAGAGCAAAAGCCAACCTTTGAAATGCTTTCCAATGCTTCCTGAAAGAGCATGTTCGGTACGATGCAGCTATATTCAGCAGTAATACTGCGGGATTGCATTAGTGTCAGACGCAGCCTCATTATTATATAACTTTTCCTTCTAAATATGATCTAGGTCAGGGGTAGGCAAGTTCGGTCCTGCAGAGTTCAGCTCCAACCCTGAAAAAAAAAACTCACCTGCTTATAGCCTTAGTAATCCTGAAGACATTGATTAGCTTATTCAGGTGTGACTGATTAGGGTTGGAGCTGAACTCTGCAGGACTGTGGCTCTCTAGGACCGAACTTGCCTACCCCTGATCTAGGTTAACACTGCAGTCGTTTCAAGAACCCTCTGCCTAAGTAAAGCTAATGATTAATACAGGAATAGATGTAGCTTAGTTGATTATAAAAAATGAACATAGAGGTCACAAACTTGAGCTGTCGTCATCATCGGCGAAGGTCACTTGGAAGGAGTGTCCATTATTTAGGATGTCCAGTGAAGTGGAGGGGTCATACTGCAGTTTAAGCGGTTTCAGTGATTCATCATAAGATGCTCCACTGGGTTGAATGTCTATTGGAGACTGGCGAGGTCCATTAGCAATGGGGAAGTTTTCACACCATTTCTCAGGTCCTGCAGTGGAAGGTGATACAAAGGTTAAACAATATGCATCTGGGACAAAAAAACATTTACAGCACATAAAATTGTATTTTAAAGACCACTTTCTGCACATTTGACAGTAGCTACATCCTTGCCTTTAAGGCAAAATAAAATAAAATAAAATACAAATATTATATATGCCTTTATGTTAAAAAAGTATGCATCTGAGACAAAATGTACAAAAAAAGAAACTAATGGTAGCCTATATTTTAATTCATTAATTACATAAATAAAACAAATATTTTATGTGCATTTACAACATTTGAATTGCAGTGTCCAAGGTATTATCTGCATTTGGGATTAAATAAAAATCCACAATTATTTAAAGATGAAAAAATATCCTTACGTCATTGCCTTTAATAACCATAATAATAACAATAATAATATAAAAATATATATTTATGTACATTTAAAACATGCATTTGAATTGCAGTGTCCACGGTATTATCTGCATTTAGAATGAAATAAAAATCCACAATTATGCGAAGAAGAAAAAATGTCCTTTAATCATTGCCTTTAATAATAATAATAATAATAATAATGTATTTATGTTCAAACAAAATGTACAAAAATGAAATTATATTTAATTATATCCTTTTGAATAATAATAATAATGATTATTATTATTTTTTTTTTATGTTTTATTTCTTAGGGACAGATACAATAAACATAGATGAAAATGTAAAAACAATCATCCTATGCATGTACCATAGTGCTTGTAGCCGAAGCTAATTTGCAACACTTGTCCCTAGGAGGGCTTTTATAAATTACAATTACAATAAATAAGTACAATACAAAATACAATAATATAAGTACACTAAACATGACTACAGGTTTGTTGATGTATCAACCAAGATTTCGTGTATATTATTATTATTATTATGTGCATTTTAATGGAAAGAAAAATGCATTTTAATTGCACAGTGTCTAAGGTATTTCCTGCTTTTGGTATAAAATAAAAATCCACATTCGTGTGAAGAAGAAAGTACATACAGTTGACACAAAAATACACATTTATATGCATAGTTATGCACATAATATACGTAAAAATCTGTACATTTTGCACTTGTCACTGATAGTGCTGACTGTGCAGTAGCCAAGGTGAACATGCCTTAGTTGCAAAGAGGGCAAATGCAGATAATGAGGCAAAAAATAGAGAATCTGTGATAGATTTCATATGAACATATCCTAAATTATTAAAATCATAATTACATGGGGGGTCTTACCGTTATGGTCTGCGTATCCCCATCCGTTAGACATTATGACAGCTGCGCCGCAAGAGTCTTCAAGTGTCCTGATGCAGTGTCAGTGTCCTCGGACAGATGAGCTGGGGGTTTATATAGCGGTTTTCTGGACGCTGTTCGCCCACATGACCGTACATTAAATGTGATCAGCAGCAGGAGGAGCTACAGAGAGATCGATACTGAGCGCTCTCTCCATCCGCGTCTCTCTCGGAATGCGGGATCTCGTCGGCGGAGGGAATCTTCTGCTTTGATCTGCTGCTACATTCTTACAATTCTGTGATTGCGTAATCAGAGACTTGTGGCGCGCTGGTTCTGGTGACGTAGAGTGACAGTGTGACACAGACTAGTAATAATGACAATGAGTGCAGTAATGATTCATCACTTGCACAGCGAATGAACTGCGGTTTTGCGCAACACTCTGCTTCTTTAGCTGGTATTTGACGCTTTACAAAGAACGACCCCGTGACTGACGACAGATATATGAAAATATGTTTTTTAAAACGGGCTACCTTACTCATAATGAATGTAGTGCTATCAACATAATGCTTTAATATGTCCATGTGTATATCACTAACAGATACACTAATAATAGCTACAGTAATTTTTGTCATGTTATTATTATTATTATTAGTCTATTATAATTATTATGTTTACTATTTATTATTGGCTCAAGGATAAATAATAGGGTATAAAATATGAAAACTTTGTAGATTTTAATATAAACATTGCAGGATACATATATAGGCTAGCTTGTAATTTCTGCCGATACTGAAACCAATGCTATTTAAATCAAGATATATATATTTTAAATAGCGCGTATATTATTTGTAATTGCATATGCATATGTAAAGTTACAAATGTTCTGAATTTGTGAAGCTCTATCAATGTACTTGAATCTGAACTTGCAATATGAAGTGATTGATTGCCATCTGGTGGTCGAGTGTTGAAGCTACTGTTGACCGCAAAATGAACAAACAACTGACTAAATGCATGTTTAAATTCACAAATAAAGAAGGGCCAAATGCCTAATTGCATTAATTAGGCTATTTTTACGCGTATATTACTTTTTAATTTGTGATTATTTCTATAAATATGAACCTTGATTGCAATCTTACGGCTAAGAGTAGTCAAATTTCATATTTGTAGAGTTGAATGGACAAATAAAGTGCAAAATACGTTGTTCCAACATTTTTATCTCAATCAGTCGTGATCAGTTGTCGTCGTGACCTTATTTAAAGGGGTGCTATTATGCTTTCTCACTTTTTCAACGTTAGTTAGTCTGTAATGTTGCTGTTTGAGCATAAAAAAGATCTGCAAAGTTATGAAGCTCAAAGTCCACTTCAAAAGGAGATATTTTATTCAACAGAAATCACTTTTCAAAAACTACAACGAATGACTCGTTTGGACTACAACGCATATTTTCCGGGATTTGTGATATCACAAATATCGACGAATGGGACGAGACCTGGTTGAACTGCACTAGAGAAGGCAACGAGTGTTATCACTATGTCGGAGATACGAAGACTTTGTAAAAGAGCATAATAGGACCCCTTTAAAGTTTCGCGTACTCTCCACACCACTAGATGGCGCTGATGCACCTGTACAGTGAAGAAAAAGCACAGTCACAGCAGACACGTGGATGTGGGTAAAAGCTATTGATAGTTGAAACTACGCTTTTCTGTTTATGGAATAGATGCGACGTTTTTATATGTAGTTGTATTTGTTTTGTCAGACACGTTTAGTTTAGAATCGAGTGTCATCTAAGCGTGATATAGCCACATACTGTTCTCCGTCTGCTGTCTGCGTTTGGATCAGTCGTTTAACGTTATTTTAGACGTCCACATTGCGGATTCATTGAGTTGAGTTCTCAAAGTCTACAGGGGAAATGGCCAAAAATAAACTGAAAGGCAAAAAGCAACAGAATGTATTTCAGGTTGCGAACAAACAGTCAAAACCCAAGACCAAAGCGAAACCCGTCAAGACCTCTTTGAAACATGTGAGTTCAAGTTTGGTTTACATCAGTAATGCGCCATTAGGACTGCACACAGTTTTAGAGATTTTGAATATAAATAAGTTGATATTCTGCCCACAGATAAACACGTTGAGAAATGAAAAAGTGGAGAGCTTAAATCAGATGTTCACAGAAGTACAGCGAGATGTCAAAAGTATATCAAAATCAACATCCAGTGAACCCAAACAAGGACAGAAGGTCAGTTTTTCCTGTTTTATTTTCTTATTTGTAAGCAATGTCCAAATACATTCTGCAACTTGACTTTTTATAAAATGTTTTGCATGAAGTGTGTTTGTGCTTTCTCTAAATGCTGTCATGTTTTGTTATCAAATGCTATGACATTTCATGCCTCATGTGTCCAAATACTTTTTTGCGCTGTAAATGTTTAATGTTGACCGTCACATCGCATGTAAACTGTATATTTCAGGTGGTCAGAGAAGCTCCACGGGAAGCTGTCAATGTGGATAATGCTGCCCAGCTTTTCTCTCAACTGTAGAAGACCATTTTAACATGCTGAAAATGGAAAAACAAACAAAAACAGTTCATAATAACTGCCGATCATCAATATGATTTATTATTACATGAATATCCCTGTGTAGTTTTTTTTTTTTTTTTTTTTTTTGCAGAACTGCATGATTTCTATTGCCCTCGTAGGACTGCTTTTGTAAATGTACTCTGCAACAGTGCATGCAAATCACACAACCAAGCTTAATGCCTAAAAAATACATTAGTGAGTTTTCCTAGAGCACTGATTTTTTATATTGTCTATGCTTGCTGAAGCATAAAGAACAAAGTCATTAAAGACAGAATTCTATCAGAGCTGTTTTGTAATGAGTTGTGCTTCTGTTGTATTGAGTCAGCTGTAACAGGCTTTATATATTCTTCGGATCAATGTTTGAACTTTTGACCCAGTGGAAAGAGATGTCCAATTGAGTCGCTGGAATTGAGATTGTTAGCTGGTGTTTTATTTCTTTTAGAGGTGGGGCTGAAGGAGAATTTACTTTTCTTTATTTTTTATGATTTTCTTTATTTTTTATTTTTTGCAGTTCTCGGCACTAAAACAGCACTTGAAAGAATCTCTTCAAAGCTTCGTTGTGAATCTGCTTACAGGTTTTTGGAAACACAAGTTGGTAGTTCAGGCACAAATTAAAATTGAGTCGTTTACTCATCCTTGTGTTGTTCCAAACCCATATGATTAAAATGGAAGTGAATTCATTTTCATTTTAGTGCAAAGTTCTACTTTAATTCCTGTATGCAGAATTTATCTTGAGTGAGTCCTGAGTGTGCTGGTTTATGATCACAGAAAACTGAACATGAGTTTGAGAACAAATAAAATTGATGAATGAGACAATTGTTTGTGTATGTGACTAGATTATTTGAATTAGTAGGCCTACATTCAAAAAAATAAATTAATACTTTTATTTAGAAAAGATGCATCAAATTGATCAAAAGTGACTGTATATATATATATATATTATAATATATTACATATTATATTACAAAGGACTTTACTGATTCTGTTTTATATAAATGCTGTTGTAAACTTTCTATTCATCAAAAAAGAAGATAAAAGAATCATGTGACAGCGAAGACTGGAGTAATGGCTTCTGAGAATTCAGCTTATCGAAAATAGAGTTGTTATTTTGAAGTGTAATATTACACAATTTTACTGTTTTTATTGTATTTTAATCAGATAAATTGGTGCGCATAAAAGAGTATGCTCATCAATTAGATCAATAAACCAATCTTGGTGTATATTTTAAGTATTTAAGTTTGAGAGAGGCTCTTTTAATGTGAACGTTCCTTCTTTATTTCCTGTGTTGTGATAACAGCTCAAGACCACTAGAGGCCAGACATTTATAATAATAGCACTACATTAACAGCAAGACTGCAGGTCACCAGACATATATTTATTTTTCTCCTATTCACTTAGATATAACTAAATGTAAGGACATGTATTTTTTAATAAACTGGCATTTTGAACTAAAATGTCAATCTGTGGCCGACACAGTGAAGCATGCAGTGTTTAAGAAAAACAAGCTGTTCATGCATAGATAAGATCCCTAAAGTTGCAAAGACTAAAGTCTCAAATCCAAAGGGATATTCTTTATAAAAGTTAAGACTTGTCCATGCCCTCCTAAAACACCTGGTTTAAACGCCCACACATGTCTACGTCACTATCTGGGAAGATTTGCATAACGCCGCCCAAATGTTCACGCAAAGAAAGAAGGCGTAACTTTTATTCTCGCTGTAGTATTGTTGTTGCCGCCGCCGCCATGTGGAGGCGCTGTGTGTTTCCTTGTGAAAGCGAAACTACTTTGGCCTTCCAAAAGAGGACGATATCCGCTTCGTCATGCCTGGAGCTGATCCGTGCTGGTCGCTGAGCAAATACATCAACTTCGCGCTGTGGATCGGCTTTCACCGTGGACGAAGTGGAGTCCAGCCCGGGGTCATCACATGTGGTTGCCGCAAGCCCGCCGGCCACTCCTTCGTCGAATCTGCCGGCTGCACCGTTCTCAAGACCGCCGGCCGCCGCTCACTCAAGCCCGCGGTGTGTGACGCTGTGTGTTTCGTTGTGAAAGCGAAACTACTTCCAAAAGAGGACACGACTAGAAATCAGTGGTTAAGTTGTATTTACAACACTGTTCCAGAACACTTCAACCCAAATATTCAGATGTGTGCAGCACATTTTATGGAGGACTGTTTCCTGATCCTGGAAGAGTAGACTACAATGACGGCTGCTCTGACTCACAGACTGTAAGTACGTTTT